TGCCTGGCTGGGCTTTATTGGCTTTGCCGAAGAGAATCCTGCTGCCAGGCAGGCTGCTGTGCTCTGGGCAAGGAGCTGGTATGAGAATTGCTGGATACCCTGGAGCTCAGTGCCAGTTCAGCCCTGCACGGGGGGCACTGGGCAGTGCCAGTCACTGCGGGTGCCTCACTGGAGCTTTGGTGCTGGTTCCGGTGTGTCCGTGGTGCTCCAGCCTTTCCAGCTGCTCTGGAGCCAGCTGCACATGGAGACCTGCCCCACCCACGGCCTCTGCTCCTCCTGGGCTGCAGGATGCTGCCAGAGGGGCTGTCCCCAAACCACTGCCAGCAGCCAACGTCCCTGTGCCACGTGTGACCTCCCGGACACACTCGCCTTGTCCTGAGAGGCTTTGCGTGGCCCTGGGGTGGCACATGGATGCAGGAATCCTTTCCCTGTGCCTGTTTTGCTGCTCTGGGTGAGGTGGGAGGTGGTGGCTGGCCTGGCTGGAGGCTGCCTGGCCATGGTGGTGCTGGTGGCTCTGAGCCCCGGTGAGATTCCTGTCCTGCCCCCACAGCCACGCTGTCCCCGTTAGGCCAAGGTGCCTTTGTGAGCCCTCCCTGGGCTGCAGCATGCCACAGCCCCCGGGAAGCACAGCTCAAATCTGCTGTGCAGGTCCCAGGGGCACGGAGGAGAGGACAGGATGTCCCTGGAATGGGGTCAGGCAGGAATGGAGGTGGCAGGGGCTGGAAATGCAGTGGGGAGGCAGCAGCTCAGTGTGGGGCATGGCCAAAGCACCGCTGGTCCCTCGTTCCAGTGACACCAGGGTGGTGCTGGCATCTGGAGAACTGGGAGAGGGGGTGGCTCTGGCAGGGCCCAGGGTGTGACTTTGCTGGCTCAGTGCGTTGTTTAGGGGAAACAGGGCAGGTTTGGAAGCTGGTTGGGTGTGGAGGGAGGGAGGTCCCTCCTGAGGGATGCCCTGGCCTCCAGCCCGCTGGGCCTGGATGGGAGTTGGTGTTACGTGCTCATAACTGAGGGTTTGGGAACGGGAAACAGGGAAATCAAATCTCTGCCAAGTGCAGGGACAGAGCAGCGTGGGCCTGTGCCCATCCCACTGCTGCATTTCACATTTCTCCCCTCTTTAAAGAGGAATCCGGGTTTTGCAGAGCCCCTGCCCTGCACAGATTTTCTCTTCATCGAGTCCCAGCCCCCAGTGCTCAACCGTGCATCAGGCTCAGCCCAAACCCTTTTCCTGTAGCCTCCCTCAATAACTGGGTTGTTTTTCTGTCAGTCTCTAATGTGGCCAGAGGGATTTTTTTCCCCTTTCCCTCTTAATTTCCAAGCAGCCGCCGCTCCAGCAGCCTTCTCTGCGGGAGCCTGGGGCAACTCCCCCGGGCGGCCTCTGCTCCTCTCAATGAGCTCCTAATGAGTTTGCAATTAGTTATCGGCAGAGCCGATGTGCCCAGGGCTGGAGCGGGATGTGCAGCGGGATCCAGAGCAGGGCAGAGCATCCCCGGCAGGGAACAGCGCTGGGGCTGCGCCTGTCGGCTCCGGGCAGGACGCTGGGCTGTGGCCATGGGACAATGTCCTTCCGGGACGTGCTCCACGGTGCTGGGGATGGAGCCGGGAGCTTGGGGAACAGGAGCGGCAGCTGCCGACGGGAGACGAGTGGCTGCCTATAAATACCTGCCAGGGAGCAAGGAAGAGGTGGGTGGATTATCCTCCTCACTCAATGAGATAAACGGTTCTGAAGCTTAAACACAGAACAATTTTAGTCTGAATAGTAGGAGAAATGGCTCAGGATGCGGAGATGACGGCAGGAACCGCCTGTGGTGCGCGGCAGGTCCCGGGGCCACGCGGCAGCCGCTCCGCTGCCTCTTTGTCACTCCGGGAGCTTGGGCCGCGGGGCTCGGCCGGGATGCTCATCCCTCCTCCCTGCGTGGGAAAGCTCCTTCGGGAGCACCTGGAACTGAGTGGAGACGGTGTGTTTGTCCTCCCTGGGACGTGGGGCTGCCTCCCTTGCAGGGTTTTGGGGCGGGAGAGGAGCTGGGGTGCCGGGAAAGGCCCCGCTGTGGCTCTGGAGTGACCCGATCTGGCGTGGGGCCACACCCGCGCTCCTTGGTGGGACTGGCCTGGCTGCAGAGCGAAATGGGACCTCAACCCGGCCAGACCAAGCTGGTGGCACCTCCTGCCACACTGGCACTGCCATCGCCGCTATTCCCGCTGTCCCTGGGAGCGCACGGCGCTGGAACCGAGCCCTCGCTGCCTCTGCTGCCGCCCCGCTTCGCTGCTCGCATCAAACCCAACATGTTTCCAAAAGCTTTCAATTTTTAATGACAACTTCTGTGTTTGTGCTCTCCGTGGCCTCGGCGTGTCGGAGTTTTGGTCGCCGCCGCTGTTTGGCTCCTGCTGGGTCGGTGCTGGCCCCGTGGGGCTCCCGTTAGCCCCGGCCAGGCGGGGCTGTCGCTGTTCGGAGCTGCCGGTGCAGGATCCCGGCCTGTCCCCATCCCTGGCAGCACATCCCGGTGCCAGCTGTGCCAGCCCCCAGCTCCGGACTGTGCGGGATCCCCGCTGCCCGTGCGTGCTCCTCGGTTCCTGCCTGGGAAGGAGACACCTGGAAACCCCAACAGGCTGAGCCAAAGGGAAAAACAAACAGCCCTTGACTAGGAGAGCACTTCCACAAGCTGCCAGCCCTCCCTCTCCTCTCTCCCATCCAACCAGCAGGGTTTTTCCCCAAACCCAACCTTCCCGACTTGAATAATTGCATTTCAATGCCGGTTAATTAAGGGACATTGATGAGCGCAGCCGTAAATCCAAGCGTAGCCGGAATTCTTCGTGCAGGATGCTGGGGGCTGTTCTCAGTCCTGCCTCCAGCGAGCTGCTGCTGATCCACCTCCACCTCCAGCACCCAGACGCTGAGATGGTGCTCCTCTGCCAGGGGGCCAATGAAACACTATGGAGATGAGCTGCTTCGGAGATCTTATGAGTCAAACTGTTACATTTTTGGAACATCATGATGTTGAAGTTCCTTTTCTATTTTTTCCCCAACTTCCCAGGGAAAAAAAATATAACTATAATAAGTGAAGAAGCTGAGCTTTGGTTTGGGATGACAGGCAGCACGGTGGGGGGAAGGAAGGAAGGAAGGAAGGAAGGAAGGAAGGAAGGAAGGAAGGAAGGAAGGAAGGAAGGAAGGAAGGAAGGAAGGAAGGAAGGAAGGAAGGAAGGAAGGAAGGAAGGAAGGAAGGAAGGAAGGAAGGAAGGAAGGAAGGAAGGAAGGAAGGAAGGAAGGAAGGAAGGAAGGAAGGAAGGGAGGAAGGGAGGAAGGGAGGAAGGGAGGAAGGGAGGAAGGGAGGAAGGGAGGAAGGGAGGAAGGAGAAGTTGGAGATCCGACTCAGCCTTATTGGGAAGGGACTGGGAGGATCCTTGTGTGTGAGCCCGACCATGGGGTGCTGCAGGTGCTTTGTGGGGTGTCTGGCACCATTTGGGGTGGCTGTGACAGCCCCTGCGTGGGGCTCAGCCCGTGGGCACCACCTGGGCTCTCTCTGCCCATCCTCACCCACCTGCAGCCCCCGAGTGCCCTCCCCATGTCCCTGCCTGCCCAGGGTTTGTGCTTGTGCAGTGATGGAGCGCCCTGAAGACATCAGAGGAGATGCTGGAGTGGTTTCACTGCTCTGGTGGTGTGGTGGGTGACTCTGAGCTTGGATCTTGCTGTGGAAATGGTCAGAGTGTGGAGAAAACCACCCCTGGTTTGTTGGCAGTGAGGAATGTTGGTGCTGTTGCCCATGTGCTGCTGGCTGGGCCGGCCTCTGCTCGGCTTTGGTGAGATCCCACCAGGAATGTGCATCCAGCTGTGGATCCCCAGCACAGCAAAGACATGGATATGTTGGAGCAAGTCCAGAGGAGCTACAATGATGATTATTGGGATGGAACACCTCCGCTATGAGGAAAAGCTGAGAGAATTTGGATTGTTCAGCCTGAAAAAGAGAAGACTCTGGGAAGACCTTAAAGCCCATTTCAGTGCCACGAGGGGCTCCAGGAGAGCTGCAGAGGGATTTGGGACAAGAGCCTGGAATGAGAGGACAAGAGGAATGGCTTCCCACTGCCAGAGGGCAGGGCTGGATGGGATATTGGGCAGGAATTGTTCCCTGGCAGGGTGGGCAGGCCCTGGCACAGGGTGCCCAGAGCAGCTGGGGCTGCCCCTGGATCCCTGGCAGTGCCCAAGGGCAGGCTGGATGGAGTTTGGAGCAACCTGGGATAGGGGCAGGTGTCCCTGCTCATGGAACAAGACTGGCTTTAAGGTCCCTTCCAACCCCAAAGCAGTCTGGGATTCTGGGATTCTCCACACCAGAGTCTGGCACCCTGGCTGGTGAAGGCCAGGAGCTGGTGGATGGTCAGAGAGATGTGAGGGAGGGATTTGCTGCAGAGTCATTGTGTCCCCTTGGTGCCAGGGCAGGGCCCTGGTTCCACTCTGGAGCTCCCCCAGCTGGGCTGAGGCTCAGCTCCAGAGGGGCTCAGTATGGAGCGGACAGGGCTGGCTCTTGGGGTCCCCACTGGGGACACAGCAGGAGAGGGGACCCCCAAAGGGCCTTAGCTCCTGTCCTGCAGCATGGCTGGGAACACACCAGGCCTGAGAAAATGTGTCCATGTGTGTCCCTGTTTGTACCCACGTGTGTCCTTGTCCCTGTCTCTGCCATGCCTGGACCCCTCCCTTTGCCCCCAAACACCCACACGGCTGCAGCCCCCATGGAGGCTGGAGCATCCCCTCCAGAGCCATTGGGTTCGTGGCCCTTGGGGACAGAGGGGTGGCACACAGTGGGGACTGCTCAGCCCAATCCCCCTTTGCCATGGCTGGGACCCAGGGAAAGGGATGGGATGGGATGGGATGGGATGGGATGGGATGGGATGGGATGGGATGGGATGGGATGGGATGGGATGGGATGGGGTGGGATGGGATGGGATGGGGTGGGATGGGATGGGATGGGATGGGACGGGACGGGACAGGATGGGGTGGGATGGGATGGGACAGGACAGGATGGGGTGGGATGGGACACCATGGCCCTGCAGCCCCACGGAAGCAGTGCCACCTGTGCCTTGCAGCGCAACCATGAGCGCGGGCTCGATTGAGCAGGAGCCGTCGCGCAAGCTGGGCTGCTGCGGGGTGCCCCTGATCACCGAGGACATGCAGTCCCTGGCCATCCGCACCCTCTCGGGCACCGACATCACCAAGCACTACGACCTCATCCGCGAGCTCGGCAAGGGCACCTATGGCAAGGTGGACCTGGTGTCCCACAAAAGCACAGGTGAGGCCAGTGGGGCGTGGGCTGGGGATGGGGTGCTGGGTCTGTCCCAGCCCAGGGCTCACTCCTGTCCCCTGCCCTCCACAGGCACCAAGATGGCCCTGAAGTTCGTCAACAAGAGCAAGACGAAGCTGAAGAACTTCCTGCGGGAATTCAGCATCACCAACACGCTCTCCTCCAGCCCCTTCATCATCAAGGTCTTCGACGTGGTCTTCGAGACCGAGGACTGCTACGTGTTCGCTCAGGAGTACGCCCCCGGCGGGGACCTCTTCGACATCATCCCGCCCCAGGTGGGACCCAGCACCTCCCACGGAGCCTCTGTGGGATGTGGGGGCTCAGGGGGTGCTGAGCAAAGCTGCTCCTGTGCTTTGTGCCCATGTGGGAGGGGCTGCAGGGACTGGGCACCCCCATCTGGGCTGGGCTTGACCACAAGCACCTACAAATAAATGTGGGGCCCATCACCCATCCTCTGGGTGGCCTAAGATCCATCACCTATCCATAGGATGGCCTGAGACCCATCACCCTTATCCTGGGGAAGCTGTGGCTGCCCTATCCCTCGAAGTGTCCAGGGCCAGGTTGGATGGGGCTTGGAGCAGCCTGGGATAGTGGAAGATGCTCCTTCCCAGGGCAGAGGGTGGAACTGGACGATCCTTAAGGTCCCCTCCAACCCAAACCATCCTATGGGGGAACCTGTGACCCACCACCCATCTCCTGGGTGACCCATGACCCACCACCATCCCCTGCCCCAGAGCACCCACGACCATCAGCCCACAGAGCCGTGGGTGTCTGGGCCGGGTGGGTGCCCCCGGGGCTCGCTGGGGGTGGCTGATGCCGTGTCCCCCCCGCAGGTGGGGCTCCCCGAGGAGCTGGTGAAGCGCTGCGTGCAGCAGCTGGGCCTGGCCCTCGACTACATGCACAGCAAGAGCCTGGTGCACCGGGACATCAAACCGGAGAACGTGCTGCTCTTCGACCGCGACTGCCGCCGCGTCAAGCTGGCGGATTTCGGCATGACACGCAAGGTGGGCTGCCGGGTCAAGCGCATCAGCGGCACCATCCCCTACACGGCCCCCGAGGTGTGCCAGGCCGGCCGGGCCGAGGGCTTCGCCGTGGACACCAGCATCGACGTGTGGGCTTTCGGGGTGCTCATCTTCTGCGTGCTCACCGGGAACTTCCCCTGGGAGGCGGCGGTGGCGTCCGACGCCTTCTTCGAGGAGTTTGTGCGGTGGCAGAAGGGGCGGCTGGCGGGGCTGCCCTCGCAGTGGCGGCGCTTCACGGACAGCGCCCTGCGCATGTTCCAGCGCCTGCTGGCCCTCGACCCCGAGAAGCGCTGCCCCGTCAAGGAGGTTTTCTACTTCATCAAGTGCGACCTCATGGCCGAGGTGCGGTGCCGGCCCTCGTACCGCTCCCGCAAGCACGCCAGGGACAAGCTCCCGGCCGGGCCCCACTGCCACGAGGCCGGCGGCTCCTGCACCCCCGCCCCGCTCAAGAGGACCGTCCTGACCGAGGGGAGCGGAGCGGCCCGCCCCGAGCCCGGCGCAGCCGCCGCGGGCACGGCCAGCAGGACAGACGGACGGCAGGACAAGGGCAAGGGGCAGATGGTCCTGGCCACAGCAATAGAGATCTGCGTGTGACGGCGGCGCCTGGCGGCTGCGCGACCCGCCCGTCCCCCGGCCCGGGGACAGGCATGGCGAGCACGTCGCGGTGGTGCTGGTGGCACGAGCCGGGACCGGGCTCTGGGTTTCCCAAAGGAAAAAAAAAAAAAAAAAAAGGAAAAGGAAAAGAAACACGATGGAAGAGGAAAAGGACAGAACTGGTTGCGCTCTGTAGCGCCAAGGATGCCGATCCCCCCCGCCCCGCCTGGGCGAGGCCAGTGGTGGCCGGAGCGCAGCCGAGGGCACCGCTCGCTGCTGGGGAGGCTGGGGGCACCCACAGCCCTGGCACGGCTGCGCTGCCCCCTCCGAGGCTCCCCGGGGCATGGGGAGGGGTCTCCCAGGGCGGGGAGGAAGAGTCGGGGGCAGCGGGCGGCTCTGTGGCTCTGCCCCAGCCCTGCTCCACCCCGCCCGGGAGCGGGAAGGCCGATGACCCTGCACCGTGGAGGAGGCCTTTGGGGGGGTTTGGGTGGGTGGGGATTTGCCCTCTTCCAGCGGCCCCTGCCGCGCTGCTGGGGCCGGGAGGGCGTGGGGAGGCGGGTGACGGGGAGCCGGGGGGTTGCCAGCAGCCCCCGAGCCCCGGCAGCCCCGGCTGCCTCCCTGCCGTGGGAGGTGCTGGCAGCCATTGATGTAGCAAGTGTCCCTGTCTGTGTGTCGTTGTGTGTCCCAGCCACTGCCGCTGGCAGCCCCTGCCCTGCCCCACCGGCTCAGGCCCTGCCGGAGGGATGGCTCCCCCCTGGCCGGTGCCGGCCGTGCCGCAGGTTGGGTGCTCGGGCCGGGCTGGCTCTGCCGTGCCGGTGTCCCCGCGGCCCCTCTGCAGACCCTTTGTACCCAGGGAGCGGGGCAGGTGGCAGCGGTGCCCCCCAGGCTGGCCTGCACAGCCCGGCAGCCGGGCAGGGAGCTCCGAGCGGCCTCCCGCGGGCCCGCCTGCTTCTCCGTGCTGTCCCCACCACCCCTCCTCGCTGTCACCCCTTCCCCAACCTGTCACCCTCCCCTGGGGCTGGCGGGGAAGCGGCAGCGGGACAGGCCCTGCCGGGGCTGGCTGCAGCCACCGGTGGCCCCTTAGTGACAAGGTCCTGGGGTGTGCGTGGAGGTCACACCTTCCCTCCTGGATTTGGGCACCCAGCAGAGCGGGGAGCTCACCCCGCCGCCGTGGTGGGGACGCTGTGGGGGCACCCCAAGGCAAGAGCACCCTGCTGTGGTTCGGGCTTCCCTCGCACGGGGTGGGTGCCGTGGGGCGGCCCCGGTGCCCCAATTCCCCACAAAGGGCTATAACGCTTTCCAGCAGCAGCAGCAGCAGCAGTTTACAGAGCAGGGGCCGCCCCCGCCCCCGCCGTGCCCCGTCCCCGGCACCCCCCGGGCCCGGCGTTAGACGTAGCATTGCCCCACGTAGAGAGCTAGGCACCGGTTTTACTCCTCTTTGCCTTAGGTCCCTCGATGTCCTCGATCTTTCGTGCAATAATGTAGATAAGGGATCCCGGCCGCCCCGGAAGGGCTCGGTGGCACCGCCCGGGTGTGCCCCAGGGGGTGCCCGGTGTGATTTCTGTCCCCGTCGAGGTCGCTGTGTCCGTAGGTTGTCAGGTTTTTATTTCCAGTTCCCTCAGCTGTCGGGTTTCGGACCTTCTTCCCGTAGGAGAGGCTGTAGTGTCACAGACGTTACCTCAGTTTGTCACTGTTGAAAAGGATTTAAAAAAACCACAACTGAAACCATAAAAAATGACAAAATACATAGTTATAAAAGCAACAAAAAATTTCTCAATGGCAGTGAAGACTTTATTTTTTTTACTAACTAAAGGAAACGTGATGCTGCTCGTGCGGGGGCAGAGGGCACGGCCTCTGCCCTGCTTGGCCTCAGCAGTGGCTGTGGCAGTGTCCCTCCACTTCCACCCTGTCACCGCCGGGAAGGGAGGGGAGGGATGTGGGGACAGCACCGTGGGCACCTACGGCTGGGGGGCACCTACGGCTTGGGGGCACCTACGGCTGGGGGGCACCTACGGCTGGGGGGCACCTAAGGGTGGGGGGCACCTACGGGTGGGGGGCACCCAGCGGCCCTCGGTGCAGCCCCCTCCCAACAGCCAGGGCTGCCGGATGCCAAATGTATTCCAACCACGTCCGCAGGCTAATTTCAATTTCCTGGTAATTATGCAAATGAATGTGGATTTAATTAAGGGCAGATTTCATTAAAGTCTTCTTGGGGAAATGAGAACAGGGTGGGGGAGAGCGAGGAGGAGGGGGCGGTGGCAGGGAAGCAGAGATGAAGGCAGCGCCTGCCCCGGAAGATAAACGGGCACGGGGGATGCGGAGGGGACGGGCGGGAGCCTTGGGGAGTGGGGACCCCCCTGCAGGAGGGCAGAGCAGTGCCGGGCACGGCGGGGCAGGGCCAGGGATGGATGCTCGGTGCATCCCAGCCCCGCTCCGGGCACCGGGCAGCGACTCCTGCCCATCCCCTGCTCCAGCAGCGGCGGCTCCCGGCTCCTTCCCTCCCACCAGGGCACGGAAAGCATTGCTCTGACACGTGATTCGTATTTTTCTCTTCCCCGGCTAAAAATACAGATTTGGCCACGCCGAGAGGTCTAGGAAATCAATGTCATTGTCACCAGGCTGGCTGGCAGGACTCTCCCCTCCCCTATCCAGACAAAAAAGGGATCGCTGCCATTTGACGTCTCGGAGCCGAAGCGGAGCTGCCTTTAATCCAAAGGGAAGCGGGGCTAATTTTATCCCGGCAAGGTCGGGATGCTGCGAGCCCGGCAGCGCCCGCGGGGCAGGAGCTGCTTGTCTCCAGGCAAAAGATCCAGGCACAAACAACGGAGCTCAAGTTTGCCAAGGCAGCACCTGCACGGCAGAGGTGTCACCTGGGCGGCAGGGCCACAACCAACCCGCGTCCCCTCCGGGTTCGCTCCGGGGGCACGGCCGCTGACCTTCCCCGGGCAAAGGACGAGCAACACAATCACTGCCCTGAAAGGAAAATAAATAATCCTCTATTTGGGCAGGTCCTGGAGGAGCGGAGGGAAGGGGATGGGGTGGCAGGTGTGGAATGGTGTGGGTGTGGGTGCAGCATCCCGTAAAACCAGATCCTTCCGAGCTGGGAAGGCCAGGAAGGCCCGGCTGTGACACTCAGCTGCTGATCCTGCCTCGGATTTCATCCACCCCTCGATTCCGGAGCTGGATTGTGCCCGGTTTTCCTCACAGACACTTTGTGAGGCACTGCAGCCCCAGCTAAAACATTGGGGGTTGGGAGTAAAAATAACCGGGAATGATCCGCTCGTTGGGAGCACAGGGCTCAACGCCAAGCTGGCATCGCACGAAGTCCCACCCCAATCGCAAACAAGCCCTTTAAAAGGTAATATTTTGCCACTAGGATGGTGCCGCAGCTCGCTGCTGACTCAGGAGGGGCCGTGGGATGAGGAGGGAGTTCCCACGCAGGCCGAGCAGCGAGCGGAGCGCAGGGTCCGGGCTGCCGGGGCTTCCCCAGCCCCGCTCGGGGACACGGGGGACGCCAGCCCGGCGTGGGGAGCATCCACGAGCTGCGCTTCTCGGGGCTGATCCGCTTTCAAAAACTTCCAAAAATAGCGGTGGCACGGCGCTGGAACGGGCGTGGGGAGGAAGTGTGACTCATGTGCCACCCGGTGCCCCGGCGGAACCGGGCGGGCGCCCGGGCGGGAATGCGGGAATGCGGGAATGCGGGAATGCGGCAGGAGGGAGCGGCACGGGGGCATCCCGATGCTCTTTCTGGTGACAGCTGACTGCCCACGGAGGAGACGCAGCTCGGGCTCGTCCCTGCCTGTCCTTCCCGCGGGGACCCGCTGCGGTTCCAGCTGCCAGGGATGATGGACAGATGTCAGTCAAGGCCTGGCAGCGGCCGAGGGCCCCAGCGGGAATGAGTTGCCGGAGACAGACAGCAAAAACTGTCCCGAGATGGGGAAAAGCGCAGCCTGTGCCGCCTGGCAAGGTTAGCAGGGAGGGAGAGGTGACCTTGTGTGACGAGCCAGCCACCTTCGGGAGGAGGCAGAGCAGAGCTGGCTGCACCTCCTGGCCCGTCCCAGCCCAGCTCCCAGCACGGCCCTGCCTGCTGGAAGAGCCCTGGAGCATCCCACGGGGAGCAGCCGCTGGCCGGACCCTGCCGGGGCTGCCTCCCCTTGCTCCAGCCTCGGGGCTCTCGGCTCGGGGCCGGGGGAAGCAGGAAAATGCTGCGGGAATCTCCGCCGGCATCTCCCGCCTCCCACAGCGGCTCTGGGCACCTTCTCCCAGCCAAAGGTGTTTGTTTTCCCCCTGGAACAGACAGGGTTTCCAGAGGGTGTTTTCCCCGTTTTCCCCATAGAACAGGCAGGGTTTTCCCCCTGGAACAGGCAGAGTTTGCAGCGGGTATTTCACCATGGAACAGGCAGGGTTTTCAGCGGGTGTTTCCCCATGGAACAGGCAGGGTTTCCAGAGGGTGTTTTCCCTGTTTTCCCCATGGAACAGGCAGGGTTTTCAGCGGGGTCTTTTGGCTGAGGCATGGTTGGGGGTGCCAGCTTTGGCAGGAGGGGGTTGAGGGCAGTTTTGGTCGCGGGGAGGTGCCAGGGCTCAGAGCACCCCCAGCCCTGAACACCCCCAAAGGTTTGGGCTGTGGGCTCCAGCTCGCAGGCCTCCCACGTTGCCATGGCAACTGCAGCATCCCAGCTTGGCAGGGATGGGAAATCTCCTCCATCCCCTCAGCGCCTCGCCCGGCCGTGCCTCTGGATCTGGCACAGGCAGCATCCCAAACCCACGGAGGAGCACGAGGTGCAATTCCTGCAGGCTCCGAGGGCTGGGCCACGCTCTTCCTTCCTGCACAGCCCTCCCAGAGCCACACGGCTGCAGGGCAGGGGCAGGAGAGATTTCTGCTTTTCAGATGTGGATCTTCCCATTCCAAACCTTTCCACTTGCTCTGGATTTGTGGGGTCCTGGCAAGCAGAGCATCCATCCCCCAGGCTGCCCCCACACCTTCCTGCCTTCTCTGGACCCTGCTCCCCCAGTTGCCCCAGATTTGGGGGCAGCAGAGCCAGGGGTGTCTCTGGGCTGCTGTTACCCCATTAATCAGAGCATCCTCACG